GTTGTTAAGTCATATTGAATGAAATGAACCATTTGAATGGGTTTAGTTCAATTTAAATAACTCTAATTTTCTAATTTGCTAAAAAATCTAATTTTCAGATTTGCTAAAAAAATTTAAAATGTTTCCAATACTCATTTGAAATCCGGTTTATTTTCAATTTGCTAAAAAAAAGGTAGATTTAATTAATTGGTGCTTAACTTCGTGTATTGTTTTTATTTCATTTAAACTTACCAAAAAAAAATTTATATAACTTTATATTTACAATTAAAATGACCATTTTTAATTCGAAATTTTTTTTAAAAATTGAAATCGAAAAAAAAATTTCGATGATTGCAACTCTTAGTATAATTTTTTATATTAGAAATATTTTTAGACCTCATCTTTTGGGTAATATAAATCAAATATTTCACGTGTCGCGTCAATCGAGCAAAATTATCAGCTGTCGTTTCTTATTGCATTGATGAATCGAATTACTTTAATCAACGATTGTCCGTAACTTTTTTTTTTGTTTGATTTTTAACTTACAATTGGAGCCAGTTGTTCACTGATTTAGTGGAATAGTCAGGTGTCGATTTCCTTCAATTTCTTTGTTATATCTTTGTTATATTTTTGATTTTTGAATTATGAATTTTTATTCTTCGATATGTAATTCAAATCAATGTTATCATCGAAATTAATCGAAATTGTTTTATTTAATTACATTTTGATTGCTTGGCTTTTTGTGAGTTTTTAATCTTTTAATTATCATTTATTATAACATAAAATTCATATTAATATGAGTTTTTATGCAAGGCAGCATTAGAATAAAATTTCATGTTAATTGTAAATTGTAAATTGAATTTTTTGGATTAAACAAAATTTAAGCCGATATTAATTTGTGTGTTGTGAAATCGAATCACAGTCAATCTTATATTCTTGTAAAATATCTATTTTCTTTCGAAATCGATGTTTTCTTTTATTTTTTCTAATTGATATTCTGCAGTTTTGCGATTGGATTTTGTGATTTTTAAGAAATTTTTAAGAAAAAAATTTTTAAGAAATTTTTAAGAAATTTTTGTCATTCCTGTACTGATTTTTGGTTTCGAAATAATAGGGCAAATCGGGTCGATATTTTTGAATTTGCATTATGAGAAAATATCAATGTTTGTACGAAGGATTTTACTCGATGGCTCAATAAGTTTATAAATAATGAAGAAAAAAAATTATATTAAATGAAACGTTCTTCTGTTTGCTTTTCATAATGCAAAGATCTTTGCCTTCGTTTAAACTGTCAAATATTCTTAATGTTTGCATTTTTTATGATTTTTTCAACAATATGCTTTATTCCCACTTGTGAATCGAATGCATCAAACAGCGATTGTAGAAGAATTTGGTAAGCACAAGACATAAATTGAACGGGTTTAAATGTTGGCAGTTCGACATTCCTTCGTAAGTTATATTTTTTCGAAATATTTGACCATCAGCACTATTTTATTGTATTTTTCTCGTGCTAGACCGATGAGCGAATCCGAGGCGCTTCCGCACCTGCAGTTAGTTTTGCAGTGAACATGGTCGAAACATTAAAAAGGCAGGCAATGTTTTAAAACTTTTCATTAGCCGTCCAGTAGAGAAAGCGGTTTCATCAGAAATTTTCAGCGGTTTCTCGATGCTGTTAGAAACGACTTTGTTGTTGGATAGTTCGAGCTCATATTGTCCTGGGCGGTAGGAATCAGCAAGAAGTTCCTCGAGTATAATATACTAAAATTCTAAGATATATTGAGATGTTTGTGCAGGCATAACGTAATTGATCTGCGGTGGATCTTGACTCAGTCCTTTTTTGCTCCCAAAAATAATATTTCCTTTTTCGAGACTGGGATTCATTTTCCCTGTGTGTCCAGTCATCATTTCATCCGGTTCTTCCAAACAGTTTTAAGCAATAATGCTGGTATTTGGAACATTTCCGTAATTGCCTTTTTAGATGTTAAAGGAAGATGAAAGCTGTTATCGAATTGCTTTTCTGTCCATATTTTTTGCACTTTTTTGTTGATTTAAGTTACAAGTATCATTGCGACAGATTTCAACCAGACTTATTTTTTACAGAATTGAAGTTTAAAGATGTTCGTAGATGTTATGATAGTTATGATTATATCAAGGTACCAAACTTTTGCAAGTATTGCGCAGGCGTTACGAGATTACGCGACAGATTCCTTCAGTTGTTGCTGCAAGTATGAGTCTATTGAAATGGTTGTTTGAAAAAATTTATTCATTATACAATTTAAGAGATTTTCAAAAGATTTCTTTTTTTCCCACTTGAACTTTAAATTTGGTTTTCATGCTCAAAGTGTATTTACCTTATTTCACTGAAGAAACAGGTAAATTGTTGATAATAAATAAATAACTGATATTTTTTGTTGTTTAAACGCTGTAGTCATAAACCGCTTTTTGTAAAAATATTTATCAGTTCTTGATAATTTTTCATTTACTATTTTTTTTATATTAAATCTTAAATAGGAAAAGTTATTAAAATTTTCAAGTTCGAATAAATTTTGAGAATAAATTCTGTAAGAAATAGTAGATTTTATAATGCGCTTACTAATTTTGCTCAGCAAAGCTTTATTTTTTCGATTAATCATTCTATCGAGAAAGCTAGAATGTTTCGAGATGATTTTATTCTAATATTTTCTTTGAATAATAATAGATAAATGTGTTCTAACTCAGTATACTCAGCATTTGTTATTCGCTTATCCATGCATAATTCCAGGATGAGCACCTAAAAGGTAGCAGTGAGTCACTTGTGAGTTAAAGATGTTGTCGTAAGCGGGTCGCAATGACCAGCCGCATTTCCCTTTTAAGCAATGATTTGCTACCGTAGAAGGCAAAAATCAAGCCTTTATACGACATTTGAAATTATTATTTTTCAACTTTTAACCAATTAATTTCATTTTGCAATTAGCATAAATTTTTAACGTATAACTTTATTTCTAAGTTTCTTTGCCTTGCTAAAAGTCTTTCACCAGTCGAAAGCGATTATGTAAGTGAAATTAAAGGAATTTTAAAGATTCTCTTTATTTATTTTATCGTTAAAAATTAAGAATGCTGAATTTATTTGTGGTTATTATTATTGTTGTTATTCGGACAGAATTCAGTGTCTTTGTTGGGAATTCATTTATAGATACTCTTTTGTTTCTATAATTGAGCTTTTTTTAATAATTTTCCTCCTTTTATTGATTATATTAAGTAACATTTTTCCTATTTTAATGAAAACTATCGATTTTGCTATTTTTTGCCAATTTTGCAGTTTTCGATTCGATTCATTTTAGGAATATATTATTATTGTTATAATAGTTATTAATAATTGCGAGAACTGCGATTTTTGCAATTTCTAGAAATTTAAAAATTTTGTGCAATCACAAAAGACTTCTCTGATTTCGCATTGTTCATTGCAGGCGAAATAGGATGAATTAAAGTGTTAAAATTAAAGGGTATTGAATAAAATAAAAAATGTGACAGTAATCTTGCGGATAGTACGAATGGTATGTAATTTTCTTTTGAGATTGCAACTTGTTTATCGCTGAATGTTAAACGAGTGAATCGATGAGGTTTAGGCGGTTGCGATTTGGAAGTGTGATCGGACATTTGTTCGAAGGCTCGGGGAATCGCGGCGCAATAACTGAGGAAGATATGCTGGTGATAAGCAAAAATTGCTTCATTAAACCGGCATTCACATCGCCCAATTAAAATGCCGCAGTACTGGAGACCACAGCCGAGGAACTCGGAGCGAACTTTATTTCCTAGGAATTCGAGAAAAGTAATTTGTTTCGTTCTCATTTGCACTTTGCTTCGTGCGTTATTTGCACTTTTCCTTTTCCTCCTTTTATATTGCTTTCACATTTTTGCACTATCAAAAATTGTCAAAAATTTCAGTTTTACCATGGAATAAATTTTTTGAATATGGCCATCATTCAAGCAATGATATATTGCGCTCATTAAAAAAATTTCAAAAGACTTGTTTTCTGTTCATTTTTTATGTAAACACCATCTGTAAATCAAAAATGCTAAAGATTAAGATGGAAAGAAGTTTTTTGATTAAATAATTTTTAGCCAGCAAATAAAAAATTCAGAAAAAATTTTCAAGGAATGCACGAGAAAAAAAGAGGACAAAGTGGAAAGTGTTTCATTAAAATGCTTCATAAGTATTTCGTGAAAACGTGGGTTTGATTATTCTCATGGATTTGATAAACTTTAAAATATTTTCAAAATGCATTTAGTTCATAATGGTCGTCGTCGATACATTTTTCGTCTCTTCGTCGGTTAATTTCCATTTTTGTCATTTGTTATTTTGTTATTTTGTCATTTTTATTGTGATTAGTGGATTTGAATTATTTGGTGAGAATTCCTTCCATCCTGAGAGTTTTTGGTATTCGAGAGAAATTTTTCAGTTTTAATATCTTCCAAAAAATATTTTCTTACTTCTAAAACTGGATATTCGATATTCGATAGGGCCTTAGGTCCTTCCATTTTCATTGTTTTTAAATTTTTTTTGCAGCGAAGAATGCTTGTCTTTTCTATATTTAACAGGTAAGTCTACGATAAGAATTGATTTTCAGTCATCTGATTGTTCGGCAGGAATAGTGTGATTTTGAAGAAATGCGAATTCTGCTAATGAATGTTTATATCATTTATCATTTAATCAAAAAATTATGTATTTATTTGGCTCACTCGATTTTTTTCTTTATTTCAATCGCATCTCACTTTACTTTACTTTTATTTTTTATCGTTAAATTTTTAAAATTATTGTGGTATATAGCTCAAATCATATATTTCAGTAAATCATAGTTAATCGTAAGTTTTTAAAAAAAAACTTAAGTTAACAAAAGGGTGTCGAAAAGGTTTCTAAAGGGCTAATTTTAATTAGAAACTAAATTTTTCCATTGTTTAAAATTTTTCAAATCATTTGGATTTTCTGTTTTATTTATCGAGTGATATTTCATATTATATGATATTTCATACGGCGATTATATATGGCGATTTCGGAGATACTTCAAATTTACCAATATTATATTAGAGGCAAAAAAATGGCAACGAAAGATACAAATGAAAAAAGCAAAGTGGTGAAAAATGAAGGAAAAAGTGAAGAGCGTGAAGGAAGTGTCGGCTTAGCGAAGTCTTTAACATTATTCAATGGTATTTCCATCATTATTGGATGTATCATTGGATCAGGAATCTTTGTTTCTCCGACTGGGGTTCAAGAAAGTATAAATTTTTTATTTTTTAATTTTTTTCAAACTGAAAGTTATATTCTTTGTTTTCTTGCTTCTAATGGTCAGTAAAAAATATTTTTAGCATTATATTTTAACATTTAATAAACATTTAATAAAGTATTATATTTTTATTCAGAAAAAAACATAATTTAGAAGCCGGAAGTGTTGGATTATCACTGATTGTCTGGACAGCTTGTGGTATATTTGCTGCCATTGGCGCATACTGTTATGCAGAACTCGGCACCTTAATTCATAAATCTGGTGGTGATTATGCATATATAATGGAAGCGTTTGGGCCATTTCTTGCATTTATTCGCCTTTGGGTTGAAGCTATTGTTGTGAGGTGGATTCTTTAGATAAAAATATTGATAGACATGTTTTTTTTTTCGTTATAGACATATCGGCATTTTTCGTATAATGCTTTTTGGTTTCTTATATTTTTCACAAAATAGAATAATCAAAATAAAAATTTGAATAATTTGAATAACTTTTTGCATTTCGTTCTAAATGGAATTTTTTTAAGATTATTCTGTGAAAAAATTATAGGCCGTGTACGTGTACAGTTGTTGCATTAACTTTTGCGATATATATGCTTCGACCGTTTTACCCAAATTGCGATCCTCCACAGCTTGCTATGCCGTTACTTGCTGCCACTTTGCTTAGTACGCTTTTACATTTTGGGTCAAGGAAAAATTTTGTGAATTCTTAAAAGTTCTTATTGCTAAGAAATTTCTTCGATTTCTTTTAATTGTGCGTTCCACTTTTATTTTCAATTATTTAGTAATTCTAACAGCAATTAACTGCATATCAGTTCGTCTCGCAACATTTGTTCAAGATTTTTTCACTGTCGCAAAAGTTTTCGCTCTTTTATTGATCATCGCTACTGGTGCTGTTTTACTGTTCACAGGTTATACAAATTTTTTCATGCATAAAACTGCAATAATCGTTTGCAATCGCCATTTTTAAATCTATTTTATAAAAAAATGAATTTAAACAATTTTTGATTATTTGCAATCAAGGAGAAGAATGGCTTTGTGACGGTATAAATAAGCTTTCAAAAATCTAAATAATGCTGTCGTCCCATCTATACTTCTATTCACCAAGCAAGTCCTTATCTAGTCCGACAAACCAGCGCAGCAAGAATGTTTTTAGAAAAAAAATTTGCCCGCACTAAGCATGAGCTAAATATTTTTTATTTATATTTTTTTATTTATATTTATATTTTTATATTTTTTATTTTTCATAAATATTTTTTGGACTACTATAATTTGATTTAGGTAAACCAGAGTATCGCGAATCATTCGAAAACATTTTTGATAATACGAATCCAGACATTGGTGTTGCTTCACTTGCTTTTTATTCTGGTCTGTTTGCTTATCAAGGCTGGAATTATCTGAATTTCATTGTTGAAGAACTCCAAAATCCTAGGAGGTTGCTTTTCTTTTTCCTATACCAGTTTCAGCAAGTCTTTTTTCTAAAATAATATATTTAATATTTTTTCGAAATATTTCTAGAAATCTTCCATTATCCATTGCAATTTCTTGCACAGCTGTCACGCTGATTTATGTGCTTACAAATATTGCCCTATATACTGTCATTAGTCCAGATGAAATGTTGACGAGTCCTGCAGTAGCTGTGGTAAGTTTTTTTTAACTTAGTTTGCTTTACTTAATTTTTTATTTACTTAATTTACTTGTTTAAATTTATATATTTATTTGCTCAGTGTCTGCACCTTGATCCTTTTTTTTATATTGAATTGTTATTTTTGTACATTATTTCCATATATATATATATATATATAAAATTTTTTCTAATTTCAGGAGTTTGCCAATAAGATGTTTGGTCCATTGGCGTTTATAATGCCTATATTTGTTGCTTGTTCCACAATTGGCTCGGCTAATGGAGTTATCTTCACTTCGTCGAGGTTCTCATTTAAGTTGATATATTACTTCTTCTTCTAGCAGTTCTCACTACTATTAATTGGGCTCTCTCTGCCAGCTATAGGGGTAAGATTGTTCTAGACTATACGATCCGAAGCCATCTCTGATAATAGACAAAGCAATTCTTTTTTCCATAAATCCATATATTGCTGGTCCACCTACATGTTCAAAATTTCTTAACTGCTTCACTCCAAGTCTTGATTGTCCTTTCTCGTTTTTGACACTATCCATCAGGATTAAGCTAGTAGTGATTGGACGACGAAAAACATGCCCTAACCAGCGAAAGTGTCGCTTTATGATGGTATTTTTAATGCAGATGGTAAGCGAAAGTTTGCACACTCAGCCAATTCGTGAAATGTATGAGTAAATAATTTCTTAATATCCTCCACTCTCATCGGCCATATCTCGCAGTCTCACTGCAAGATCGAGTGAATTATATCCATATAGACTTCAGTTTTTTCTGCAAACTTTCGTTAAGATGGTGATTTCACCATGGGTGCATAAAAGTTTCGTCATTCGGAAGAACGAATTTCTGGCTACCGTTATTTGTAATTTCATTTTTCACTTGGCTATATGGAATTAATGTGGCCCGAAATATTTAAATGCGAGATGTATATATATATATATATATATATCTGGCATTTTTTCAACCGGCGATGAATTTGTATTTTATCAGTTTTTTGTATATAAGACGAAAAGGCTTTCGTTTTATTGACATTGATTCTGAGTTCGATTTTCGCTGCGATTGTCGACACATTATCCAGCATTATTATTTCATCATAACACTGCGAGCAAAAAGGACTACATCATCAGTGTATTCAAGATTTGTGATATTATACTGTGGATTGAATTGTACACCTTGAGTGCAGATAAATAGCGTCCATTATCCAGTCTATCGCATAGGCGAATATTGTAAGATAAAGGAGAATATTGTGGCCTGGGCGAATACCAGGTCTTATTTCGAAAGAGTCTGTCAATTCTCCACATACATAGACTTGTGCTGACTTACGCTGGTAAAATGCCTTTATGAGTCGAATGATCTTCTCTGGAGCACCATCGCATTTCATCAGTACTGCTTCCCAAACTAATACTTTATGAATTTAAGTGAAAGTAATTGCAAAATAAGTAAAACAAATGATGGTATATTTGAAGCCAAAAACTTCACATGATTGCATCCATCTTCGCTCAAATGTCATTTCCATTAACAGTACGATCACAGAACTGGTTAGGGCATGTTCTACTACAAGAGATGATATATATTTGGTTTTTTATTCTATTCAACTAAAATCAACTGCAATATCAGTTGAATAGAACAATTGATAGTAACGATATTTTAAGCCATATTCCAATTTTCTTAGCGTGGATATTCCATATCAGTGCTCTGGTCTGTTCAGCTTGATTATGGCGCCATAAATCTGTTCACCATAAATGAAGTGGATACGGCAATTTTCCCAGAGATGTCTAGTGGGCTAATTCCTTAATATCTTTGAGATTAGGAACAGAATTGGCTTACTTTAATCACCTGATATTAATTCCTTCCATATGCGATCATTTGCACATACAAAGTTGGAGCATATTTAGAGCTTATATTGATGACTCGAAATATCGAGTTCGACGATTTTCCTTTAAAGCGAGCATAGGCCATACAGTCGTTTACCGACTTCCACTCAATTAGAGCGGACTGACTTTTTTTCAGATACATGCTAATCAATAGTGATATATAGCCAGTATCTCTGCCCAGGATCAGGTTTAGTAACTGTATGAGATCAGAAAAAGGCTGAGCTCCGACAAGCAGGCAACATCCACACAGTATTGAACGACCAATAAAGGTTTTTTTAGAAAGTGTGGACAGTAGTCACTTAGTCACTTAGTTTACAGCGTTCTTATGTTCCACCTGTTAATACCTCGCCGCTCGTCCAAAGAGTTGTTTCCCTTGACAGGTTTCGAATTACCCTTGCTGAAGACCACATATTATATTATATATATATATATATAAAATATATAATTATATATAAAAATATATATATATTTTTTCATATATATATATAAGTATATATATATATAAGTATATTTATATATATATAAGTAATATTTTACATATACTTTTGCATTTTTGTTAAACTCTGTTCGAAATTTTGTGGTTATTGCATTCAAGAACTTGAGTACCCCCAAAAGTTTGTCTGATCTAGATTGAATCGACATGTTTTACATATTTATTTTCCATTTTAGGTTATTCTTCGTGGGAGCACGGGAAGGCCACATGCCACTTGTCCTGACTATGGTTAATAAAGACACAAGAACACCAATTCCAGCTGTCATTTTTACAGTAAGGACAGTTTAAAAGATTCATTTTAAATCATATTTTAAATATATCTGTTATTTTGAACTTCAATTTAATTTGGCTAGGCGATGTATAATGGAGAAAAATCCAAAAAAAGGGAAAACAATGAACAAGGCGACTGATTTCGGATTTCGGAGGCATCCGAAGATTGTTAAAAAAATGAAAAGGATGTAATGCTGTTTTAATTTTTTTCATTGTTCGAGATTTTCGTTCGTGATGTTTTTTTCCCAAAAGAACTTCTTTAGGGTTTGCAATCCATAGAAAAAACATGTCGAAAATGAAATATATTAGCACGAGATACGAAATGGTAATTATAGATAAAATTGTTGTGTACATAAGTCGTAGTGGTGCTTAATGTTCAAACTTTGTTTGTCTACAGACCCACCGATCCACCAACTGGCAAACAGATTGATTCTTCATCGAAATATTTTCTCTTTCTCTCTTTTATATTCTCTTTGATTTCCCTTACGTATATATTATTAATGCCCCTTTTAGTTTATAATTTTCGTTGTAATTTGTGTTTTCGAATTAATCAATTATACATTTTTCCTTTTTTTTTCTTTATTTTAATTATTCTATCAATAAGAGTTGATTATGCAAATGAAATTAATTTGCCCGTTTTGCAATACAACTGTTCAAATGCTTCTGAAAAGGTTCTCTTCTTTATTAAATTTTTTTTTAAAGATTGCTTATCATTTCTGGTTACACTTTGCTGACTTATTAGTTCAGACAAATTTTGCCAGGGAGTTACTTGAAGATAGAACTAAAAGTGAAAGTCGCAAACATAACTCGGTTTGAGAAACAGATTAACCTGCGGGGAATGGAACCTCCAGTATCAGCATTTTTACTAATTTGTGATTTTCTCGAAACTTTTCAATTCGTTTTATAGATATGGCTTAACCTATCATATCTAGAGGATTCAAAAAATTTTAAATGGCTCATTTCGTTAAAAAATGCTAAATAAAAATGGGGCTTTAGAAATAAGTTGCCGTACTTTTCGCTTTTATTTATTTGAAAAATTCATATTCATTTCGGCATAATTAATTCTTAATTTTTATGATAGAAGATTTAGGAGCCGATTTGAAAATTTTGGTGAATAGATAAAGAAAAAATAGCAACTAGCAACAACTTGTTTATTGAAATTAGATTAGATTACAAAATACTTCATTTCAGGCATTTATGTGCGATCATTTCGGTTAGTTAACTTATTCCATTTTTTATTCAAAAATAATTTAAAAGTCTCACAAATCGAAAGAATCACTAGATTTAGTAAATTTCCTGGTAAACGGTCATTTATTATTTTTTTAAAATTATTTCTTGAAAAATAATATAAGAACTTGCAGTGGTTCATTTTCAAGAAACAAATAACTCAAAAATTCTTTAATCAAATTTTCCAAGATTTATTTAAGATGATAAGTGCGATGTTAAATTTGTAAATGAAACTGAAAATTCTTTTTCTGATGATGTATTAAGGATAAATCCTTTGGTGAAAACAAAATCTACAAGAAAATATCAACTTTCCGTTAATATTCAATGCCAAATCGCTTTAAATAGTTAGTTCTAATTTTCATCAAAATATATTTTTGGTTAAAATAGCTATTTTATGTAGCCACGTAAGAAAATTTTTCTGGAAAAATAAGAAATATATAAATAATAAATATATCAGAGAAAGCCAAAAAGATTGCAATTTTGCATTGAAGAAATGAAAAAGTGATTATTCGAGCTAAAAACTACAAAAAAATTATATTTTGTAAATAAATAAATTTTTATAAATAAAAAAATTATCAAAAAATGTATTCGCTGAGTGGCTTAGTCAATGCTGGGATGGTCGAGTGGTATAATTAATATAGTTTCAATTCGCATCATCATTTCAATCCCCTGACCATCGCATGAGTTGATCTGCTGTTAAACAATTCGGATAAATCCATTTCGCCAGTCGATTCCCTAGCAAAAACCGTATTAATAGCCAGTGGAATTAATTTAACTACAATAGAAATGATTAACGCTAACCCTTAAATAATCAGTAAGGCATAAACTTATAAAGACAACTTTTTTTCAGCTAACTAAATATTTTATTTCAAAAAAAAAATTTTCTTAAATAAATTTCAGAATCAAATATAATTATTAATGCATTACTATTGAAAATTAATGAAAATGGCAGTAGAAGAAAGTCGTGTTTTTATTTCAATACTTCTAATATACGGCAAAAGAAAGAAAAGGTTTATTTATTTATCTAATTTTATATAGAAATTAATATTAAAGATTCTGTACAACATTGTCTATCTTCAAATGAAAGTGGCTTGCACCATTACTAGTTTGGCTGGCTTTGCTACAATGATAAGGCTCTCATATCCCATTTATCAAAATGGCAAAAGTCCTTTTTTACCCCTTAAGCCCTCTCTAACCTATATAATCCTGAATGTATCAGCCGGATCTTGGTTAATCGTTCTCACTTCTGATGCTATCCATCATGATATAGCAAATACCAGGATATCCATCATTTCCTGTGATAGGCTAAGCGATTACCACGTCATAATAATTTATATTACATGCAATACTTTCTGCACGAAATATTTTACACTGAAAAACCAAATGTTACACGCTTTCGTTCAGTTTAATTTAAGGTAATTATAGCATTTCATTATATTAGCAAGAAAGGAACCATTATAGAGGAGAAGAGACGGTGCGAAGTTTTTTATTTTCATGTCGTTATTTGCTGCCACATTTTGGAATCTAAATTACTTTACAACCAATAACAAATTTTGCGTAAATTTATTTAAAAAATGAACCCACTTAAAAATAATTTAAGTATTTATTTAGTTGAAATGCCGAATGATTTATTAAGATAGAATTTTTATTGTAAATTTTTTAGCTAAAATTCCATTTTACAACCAACAGCGTTTTCGCATTCAATAAATCGTACAATCTTCAATTAACTGGTTTATCACAATCAAAAGTAATTTCATTCAAATCATTGAAAGATATCAGAATGCCTATATATCCAGGTCTATTATGGTTTTTCTTTGCATTATCAATGCCATATTTCGTTATAATTATGATGATTGGCAATTTATGGAAAGTTTTGAGAAAAAGTTCTGTGTATATAAATTGTTCATAATGATTTCCTTTATTAGATTTGCTCCTCTATAATTCTGCTGTAGATTTATATTTAGAAAATTTAACTGATGAGTGATCAATAAAAGGTTTCTAGGTAATTAAGAAATTAGAAATTAAGAAAGAGCCAATTTTTAGAGCCAATTTTGCTAAACGACTTGAATGACGGCTGCAAATCACATCGTATGATATTTTGTCAACATTTGCTTTCAAAAATTTTTAATGAGTTTTATTTTATTTTACCAAGCTGCAAATGCAATCGTAAAATCATTTTTTAATTTAATAATGGGTTTGAATTTTTTTTAAGGAGTCCTCGCAATTACTCGCTCCGCTGGCTTGTCGCACTAGACAAATATGCCAGGGAGTCCCTTGACGATAGAAATGCAGATGAGTCGCCAGCATCACCCCGATTTTTGTATAGGTTTGCTCCTGCGGGAAATCGAGCCTCAACATCGGCGCTCGCAATTGAGCAACAATCCATTGAGCCATTCTATCCTAATGGATTTGATACTAATGGGTTATTAATATATGAATAAATTTACTAGAGTGGCAATAAAAGATTAGATAAAAGATTAGGAAGAAGCAAACTGGTTGAGTCCATATTGGTTTAGAGCGATTGGAGGCGATATTTGCTTTGAGGAGGAAACATGCCATTAAAAAATGGCTGGCTGGTGTTGGCTATCCATCTATGATTCTATCGTCAAGTGATTGTAGAAATTTATAACTAATAGCTGCGCAGTTAATCTAACCAGCATTGGTTCGTGTGCATTTTTTTTCCATTTTATTGAATTGGAAAGCTAAACATTTTTATTATATCATATCAGTAACATGTTCCCTTTGTTCACGCTCTAATTTCTTTTATTATTATCATTAATTATTATTATTGGAGCTATTTAGATCAGCGAAACTATTAATAAAATATAACAATAATAAATATAATAATAATTGGTCATGAAGAAAACCTTGCTCAAAATATTAATCTTACTGATAAATTTTATAAAAATCTTTAAAGCAAATTCAAAAGCATCGCAGTGGGTTTCGGCATTTCGAAAAGTCATTGTTAATTCGATAACACGTACAATACAAATTGAATTTATTGGTGCACCATCAGCGTACTGTTTTGAGGAATATGAAATTCGGTTGAAGGACGAAACAGGCTTTGAACTATTAAGAACAGCAACAATTCCTGTAGCTCATATGTATACTGAAATTACTAATAATAAAGCAGTATTATTTGGCAAATATATTTTCACCAATCTTCAGGTTTTTTCCATTTTTTATATTAAAATATTGGAATTCTGTATGATTCAATTATTTGTTCAAATTGTACTCTATAAATATAAATTTGAAAGTTGGAAGGAAAAGTAGATGGTTCATTCATACGTTATTTTCCTGATGGCATTGGTCCATATATTTGATAAATATTTGATAAACCTGTCATCAAAAGTAAAGTTCAAGTGATCGTTGGAGATCTACCTAGTTTCCATCCATAATGATTTTCTGAAAAAGGGATCTCATAATGGAGCCAACTAAACCATAGATGGTACGTGGCAAAAGAAGGAAAATAGGATATATAAGTTTGTTGAATAAAAATAAAATATTATTAAGTAGTATGGAATAAATGCAAATATTTAAATTTTACATTGAAAGAACACTGTTTATTTCAGACTTTTTTGTTTTAACTTAGTTTTGACTGCATATTTACAACGATATTAATGAATTCTGCTAAATGAACTCTGTTCATTTCAATAGATAAAGCCAGAAAATGTTCAAATCATCCAATGCATTTCAAGATTTATATCTTACCGAAATATCTTTCTTTGGAAACTGTTTGGGATGAGTTCGATTTGATTTGTTAGATTATTGTGGCAAATACCAGATTTTTATCTATTCTTTCTATCATCTTGGTTATTCAGGCCAACCAAGATTATATTCCATCAATTATACCCGTAGAGAGAGCCAGAGATGGTCGTTGCCTTTGTATAATTAATGGCAATAATCCATATGATAACAGAAGTATTTGTTCATGTATTGCAGCCGACTGGGAAAAAGTACGTATAAGAAGTAAGTATTTTATCAAATTCTATTTTCCCAAATATTGGCCGTTTTGTTTTCTGCCAGTCACGCCATAGTGGTCGCTGGACCTTTATTGAATGAAAACAAAAATTAATTTTGAAAATATCAATAGTAATAATAACAACAGCAGTAAATAACGATAAATATATGCATCAAATGAATTTTTAAATATTTCTGATATCAAATTCGTTAAATATTAATTTTAGGGTGAGAAAATTAATTTTTAGAAAACAAAAAAGTTATCTTAAAAATTATGTTAACAAAATATTTTATAGGCGTTACTGGAGTAAATGAAAGATCAAATGAATTCTTTAATTCAACGGATTCTCAGTTAAAATCCACAAACAAATTTGAAATTCATTGGTTGATTATCCATTTTCTTAACGTTTAAATTATTTTTGTTATTATTAAATGCTTTTTTTTAAATTTTATTTTTAAAAGTGCTATATAATCCATTATTGGTTATTAAATGAGAGAAAAAATTTTTTTCGACAAAATCTTTTTTTGATACCAGTTTAGCCAAGCATATCACTTTCTAAATTAGTCCAGTAGTTCAGCAGTTATCACAATTATACCACATTTCCGATGAATCAATTCTTACTCTTATATTTCAAGAGGAAAATAAATGTTCGCAAAGTTTCAGGATTCTGCTAACAATATTCATATTACTCCTTGTTCTATTATTTTCAATAACATTTTATCACTTTATCAATATTCTATATTATCGGCTTGAATTAATTCAAAAATCGATTCGTATTAAAGTGGATAGCGATCACTTGGAAGAAAGTACCTCATTTTGCAGATTTAAAAAATTAAATCCGAACATTTATCAAGGTATGCTAATTGCTTTTCTCGAATCTTTTTGGAATTTTTAAGTAATAATTAAATTAATAAATTTAATTTACTATCTGAAATCTATTAAATTGTGAGAGTTTTCTCCAGATGCATTCGAACGAGAAAAATTTTATTCACTTTCGTTAATCTTTTATAATATTTTAATACATAAATCTTCGCTTTTCAGATAATTCAGAGATGAAACAGCAAAATTTTCTTATAATTTATACACATGATTGTCCTGAACATGAGAGAGTTGTTACTGCTTTTGCTGAGTTTCTTCGCCAACAATTCAATTTTAATATTCATGTAAGATATTAACTCATAGAATGTCAAATTTAATTTAAAGCTCTTGGCTATTACACTACTTATTCGATATTCGAATAAAAACTTTTCCAGAGAATTACTTGGATATAAAAATACAGGTGGGTCACCGCAACCGCCCTTTTTGATGGATGAAGTCCTATTAAAGTACCATTCGCTTAACCTATCTTCTTCCACTATTTCCTTATTTCCGCTTCAAAAAATTCCATTTTCTACAATGTTCTTTTCCTAAAATAGAAAAACTTAAGCGTTATTTTTAATAATCTTCCTCAGATTTTAGACTTTACCGATTTTTCTTACTATTTTTACTATTTTTTACTATTTTACTATCTTACTATTTTTCTATAGTCCTCATAGAATGTTTAAACCTTGTTGAATGAATAATTCAATTTAGAAACAGTGCGGCTTTTAGATGAAGAAAAAAGAAAGAATATTAGCTGTATCAATGTAAAGCAATTCTGAAAATTTTGTTTTCGGCCATAAAAACAAGAATTTTATAGCACCAGTATTTAAATTTAAAATAAAGTATCTTTTAAAATTTTGGTTCATTTATTCATTTTATTTGCATTTCAGTTGGATATATGGGACTTAGAAGAAATTGAAATCAACGTTATGGATTATATAACTAAATCGATTATTAATGCCAATAAAATACTGATAATTAATTCGATTGGAACTTATGTAAGGTACAAAAATAAAATTGATCATAAATATCGCATTGAATCCACTAAGCCAACAATATTCGACGATCTTTTTGATCCACAAATTGATCAAGCTCTCAGGTATTTTTGACTTCCTATCTCCAAAGTTTCGTAAGCACTGACATCCTTTAGAAATATTGCAAAATCCAATTAAACAAATTATAAGAGTTGAAAGCAAAATTGTCAATTTGGTTTTCTTCAAATCGAAAATTTATAAATAAAATACTGTTTGCTCAAAATTTGACTTGTTCTATTTTCTTATTTTATAGATTTTCTGAGAAGTTAACCACAGTCAGAGATAGGAATAGAATTTTTTAGGAATAATTTCAAATTTTCAGGCATCCTTATTTGGTATCAATTCGTTTTATTTATACATCAGATATTTATATATTACCACCCTTAATATATCTTCTCCAATATACACTGCTTGATAATATCAATTTGTTGTTGTCAAATTTATCCAATAATAACGAAATTAGCTTTGATCAGAATTCTCTAAATGAATTAAAATCAGCGATAACTTATATGGAATTATTCACTGATAGCGAACCTTTATGGTACCAGAAGTCACACCATCGCATTCATAAAATTTCAAATTTTTGCAAAAATTATGGCGAAATGAGTGGAAATAGTGATGAAAATTCGAAAAAATTAATTGTTAAAAATGGTATGAAACCACTGAATAAAGTGAATAAATCAGAATATATTAAAAATGTACCATTTTATGGTAGGTCAGATAATTTTACAGTGGCCAATCATATTGAATTAAATGTAATGAATGCTGATAGAAATAAAATGACTAATATTGTTGAAAAAGATTCTGGAGTTATTGATGATATCGAGGATAATTTAAATAAAATTTAGGGTAGTTTAATGTAACTATGGCTGCATTATAGACTTAATAGAAATTCCTCAGTTTGTTTAATTGTAACTACCATGTGTAAAATGTGTTTTCCATATGAAAATTATGTTTTCGTGGCAGCAGATCTAATGCGATTTAAAAGACTCATCAATCAAACCATTTGCCAAAATGGTTCATTTTCAATTTTCAGTTCTCTTAAATCCCATTGAAATTGCTTGCATTAATTTTCTATTTCTGTTTCTGATTCTAATCCAGTGTAATAACTGGAAGCAATGGACTGAAATTATTTAAATCTATTGAAACTGAATTGATGAATGATAATTTTTTTATTGAAGCACTCACCAATTATTGGAACAGATTGTCTAACAGATTGTGGTTTTAGTTCCATCCATATGCAATTTCAGGCAAAAATCGGATGAGATTATATGAGATTTCATCTTGGATAGATTTCTTTTTTGCTTATACACTGCATTGTTCTGACTTATTTAAAGTTATTATTGTTTAAATACAAATAGCACTAGACTTACATATTTTCTAAATAAAAATTAATTTTTGTTCACATTTTATCTCCATCTTCATGAACTACGATATCGTCGTAGAGCGTCACTGTCTTGAGCAGATTATTCTTCACTGGTTATTGCATAAATTGACTCCTATCTCCTTACTTTCTAAGCCCTATGGTGGACGGCAAAAGCGAGCCCAGACCGTTACAATCGGAAGAGATTTCGAAATATAGGCGGTCTAGAAATGTATGGGTTCAGTGGAAAGATGGGTGGTTTCTGCGATTTGCAGTGCCTTACATTTACATATGGCCAGCAAAGTCACCAATGATGCTAAAAGGCTTTGCATGACTTTACATTACAAACATTAATGCCTATTTACTTGTTTATTTATTTGTTATTTGTTATCAGCGGTCGCTATTCGCGTTTTTTGTAATAAAACGAATTTTTTTATTGCCAATTTTGTCTAAAACGAATTATTTGTTAGTTAAAAATGCTCTGAAAAGAAGTATAATTATGGACTAATAAATGTGTTAGTTTCCAGGTAATCTGCTGGACTCGCAATGGACGCGATGTAAAGGAAGGCGAGTAAGTAACGCGGATAACGGATATGAAATTCTAAATTCTAATGGATCCCTCTGAAAATTCGGCCCAATGACCTGGTTAGGCGAGGGTTTTTGGCGAGTCGGTTAACAGACCCTAGATTGCGACGCAAGCATTCAGCTTTTTACGGCAGTTTTGTTTCTTTCGAAAGAGAAAACTATCCTATTACATTACATGAGAGGGGAAAAGTTCAGAAATAGAAAAACTTTTTGAAAAAAGTAGTCTTAAAAAGATTTTCTGTCGTAAAAATTTAAAGCTAATTACCTAATTTTTTTCATAAATACTTCTTCTTTATTCGTACTATTTTTCTAGAATTTAGAAATTTGTTAGTAGGAAATTGTTTTGTTTTCTAATATTTTAATGTTTTAATATTTACATATGCTTGCATTTAAAGAAAGTTTTTTTTCGCCAGAAAATGTAAAGGTCATCGGGAATGACCTTTGCAATATTTAAGTTTGAGTCGTCTGTATTTGTATAAATTTGCGTAAACGGAAGTTCCATTCGAAAGCGGATCTGTTTATAATTAAATTCGTCGAGGTTGCACCTTGGAAGTTTATAGTTTTCTGCAAATTTAATTAATTTTCAAGCATTACCGATTAAATGAAAATTATCAAATTAATCAAATTATTATTTCTCTTTTCCGCTTTTCTCCTATAAACTTCTCCTATATAAAGTTTTCATTTGCATTTCTTAATTAATCTGGAAGAAAAAATTTCTTGAACGGTGTCATTTTTCCGTTCCGCTCTGCCAATTTTTTTGCGCTATTTCTGAAACGTCAAATTTTTCTATAGCAGTTAAGTTCTTTTAAATTTTTAAAAAATTTGAAACAAAGAATTAAAATAAATTAAAAGTTAAATATATTTATCTTTTAAATAGTTTTAACGTATTTTTAATGTTTTTCTATTTTTCCTTTTCTGTTTTCGTCTTTGACAGGAAGGAATCTATCATGGTATCAAAGCTTTGGGTGGCTGCTGGTGATTCGCCTGTAACGATATCCCCAAATGGCTCTATGGTGAAAGGGTCAAGTCTTTTTGACACGGTGTCCGCGTCCTCGACGCGCATGATACTTCCAGCCCTGTGGTACATGCGATAAGTGTGAAATCCAGGCATAGTTCTCAAGGCTTGAAAATGTTGAGTTGAAATCTGTCAAGGGAAACGACTCTCTGCACGCGCGGAGAGGTATTAGCTTAGAATGTCAGAACGCTTATGGACTTTATAAGTCATTGTCCACACTTTTTCTAAATTATGTGGATGTTGCCTACTTATCTTTTTGACCTCATGGAGTTTATTAAACCTGGCAGACATGCTAGCTGTATTATGCTTCGGATAACTCGGACGAAAAAGCATGGCGATTATGTTTGAAAGAGGTTGATCCGCTCTAATTAAATGGAAGTTAAAAATATGGCTTATGCAAGCTTCAATGAGAACTGCTTTAATATTTTAGTTATCAACTTTATGTACAGATGAAAGGGAAAGTTCTATACGGAATTTTAACTGCAACATCTCCACTGAAAAAATGTCGTGGTCATAATCAAAGGAAACCCCGCATAGGCTGCGATGCCGCTACAATGAACTCGTTGATTGGCAGATATGGTGGCATCGAGGTGCACCAATAGAGAATGCCTTTGTTTTGCCAAACAGCAGAAAATTTTTGTTACTAATACATGCTTTTGGCACCGTAGAAGGTATGTAATCTCGTGGAATTCGTGGAATTACTAACATTTCAACCACACATTTATATTAATCATTCGCCGTTGAAAGATTTTCATAAACTGATAATACCTATGGATCAGATCACTATGTTATGGTTCAGCCAAGATTAGCATAAGTCATAACATCTCAATAGTAATAACATCCCAAGATCTTTCAATTATGTCAAACCAAAAGATTCGTGGGCAGCAAACGCATTTCAAACCAAATTAAGCACCTCAGCGAAATGGATGTCAATGACATCTCTGGAACGGCAGATGAATACTGGGTCCAGTCCTGCTGAATAGATTTATGATATTATGAGGTAGTTGTACTGACCAGATATTCACATTAAGAAAGATATCGCTTCAGTTATTGCAACTTGCAACCCACTGTTGCGTGTTTCATCGGCTTTCCAGGTGCCTTCAGTTTATAGAACAGCTTTTTTGAGGGCGCGACAGTGTTCCAGAGAAGATTATTCGACTCATAAAGACATCAGCTTACGTCAGCACGTCTCACGTCAGTCATCTATATATAGAAGAAATGACTCATTCCTTCGAAATAAGAACTGGTGTCCATTAAGGGTGCTTTCTTCCTCTTACAGCATTAAACCAAGCGATAGACTGGAAAATAGACATCGCTTATCGGTACTGAAAAAAGTAAATCAGTCAATCCTGAGCAAAGTTTGACAGATCTTGAATACGTTGATGATGTAGTCCTTTTTGTTTAAAGTTATGACGAAATGCAAATAATGCTAAACAATTTATCAACGGCCGCAGAGAGAACAATAAAACGAAAGTCTTTTCGTCTCATATATAGAAAAATAATAAAACACCCATTTTTTATCATTTTGTTTTTTCATTTTATCAGTTCATTGTAGGTGAAGTGCCAGGCTTTAAATATCTCAGATCCACTCCAATTCCAAACGGCCAAGGGATAGAGGAATAGCGGTGCTTAGCTTCCAGTTAATGAACCTTTATGGAATCGTCGCTATAAAGACGAAAGTCCTCTCTATACAGATGCGAATCGCTATATGGTTGTAAGATAGCCTATGAGAGTGGAAGGTATGAAGAACTAATCTTGTTTTGGCTACTCAAGTCTAAAATATTTTATGGGTCCGCCGAGCGGATAATACCAGTTGCATTAAAAATACTATCACAGAGCTTCGCTTTCGTTGGTTGAGGCATGTTCATTCTTCTCCACAGGAGTTGACATGTTGCTTCCTAAATTCTGCGATGGATGGCATCAAAAGCGATGAGAACCAATCAAGATTTGGAAAATCACGAAAGATTTTTACGATAGATTTTGAACATATAAGTAAATTAGCGATATATATGGAATTTGGCATCGGAAAAAGAATAGTATTCTATTATTGTCAACGATGGTTAAAAAAACTTCACATGATTGCATCCGTCTTCGTTCAAATGCCACTTCCATGAACAATACCATCATAGAACATCGTCTTCGTTGGTTCTTCGCTTCCCATCTCATGAGTTGACAGATATTTCATTATTTGTTCTATTGAACTGAACTGAAATCAGTTGCAATATCAGTAAAAAAAATGGCGGTGCATTACCGATATTTGAAGCCATGTTCCAACCTTATTAACGTCTATGTTCGGCCACCATATCAGTGCGGATAATTTCCATATATA